CTGTTATAAGAGTTCTAACGGATCATTTTCTGGATGACGAACATCGAACAAAGAGGATGGGTCGCCCCGTAAACGATGTCTGTAGAAGTTGCTGTGACGAATATGGGGAAGGAACGGTGATTCACCTCCTGTGCTCATGTCCGACACTTGTGAACTCCAGGCAGAGATTTTTTGGATCTTTCTTTTTTGTGCGCATTACGGCAAAGCGAATGTAAATATCAAGGATCTTAGCTGGTTTTTAAGGAGTTCGGACTGGTTGGAAAAAAGGGCTGAAATGTATTGATGCATTCTTTTTTACTTCGCGTGAGTAAAAAATTGTAAACCATACCTATGGTAACAAGATTATAGACTGTAAATAAGCTTTTAATGTTATAATCGCCGCAATATTACATAAATGGAAAAATTTTCTTCTTCTGTTTTTTTTTCTGTTGGAGCAGCGATTTTGTTTAATATTTTTCATATTATAGTATGAGTAGACGAAAAAAGTTAAAACTGTCGCGTGCTCTTAGGCTTTTTTTAATAACATTTTCTCATTTCCATTTCCCATGGAAAATATTTCACAATTTTTATTTTTGTTTTCGGTTTTCTTTCTAAAAATATTCTTCTTTAATGTTTTTAATAGGACAAAAGATAATAAAACGGCAAATAACAAAAGAATAACAAAAAAATACAACTCGGAAAATTATTGGAAAATCAAATCACGTATGACAGACAGCACGTGCTCCATAAATTTTTAACTTTTTTATGATGCCATAAATAGTGTGACTATACAAATTCCAAATAATAATGCTAACATATCGCATTTGTAGGCGCAAAATGCTGCAAATACCAAAGGAAGTTTCGACCATATTTTTCATTAAACCAATTTTTTTTTTATTTGTTTCTTATAAAAAATTCGATAAATTTATAAAATGTTTGATTTGTTTTTTTTCTTTTGAGTAAATAAATTTATAATATTTATAAAAGAGGGCAACTTAATCATAATGCGGCACCAATAATGATTTTAAGTAATTTTTTGCGGTAACAAACTGATTTCTGAGTATGCACATTACAGAATTAAGTGGGGAACATATAGGAAATTTTAATATAAAATAAGTCGACTGGGAATTTATGATAAAATGGAGAAATACCAAGTGAAACTTAAGCACTTGGTTACTTGTTAACACAAAATCAGCAATTTATTTTAGAATAATTTTTACAAATTATTATTATTAGTATACAATTAAAGAATTCTTGTCAAATTTTAGAAGCCCTATTTCAAAAGTTTTGGTCTTTTCAAATAACAAAAATTTAAATTCAATATGAGACCTACATGTTTAATATTATTTACTTTAAACTATCTGCATATTGTTATATCGATTACAGTTCATGACAATATAAAACATATTTTTTTTTAACTCTCCATTGAAAAGTGATAAACTTGAATTTTTAAATAATTGCTATGACGTGACATGACTACAAACAGTAACACATTTTTTTTCTCTTTAGGAAATAATGACAACGGTACATTAACAAATAATTTTGGAATAATTTTTATGTACATTGACAAAATTACAATACAGTTAGGTCTAACCAATTCTTTATAATGTAGCACTTCTTCCTTCAACAAGTGAAAATACTGATTTTAAAAAGAATCTAGCTATGTACTGTACATTATTAAAATTATTTTCATTCATATATGAAAATATTTCAAAAATTGCATACATTTAGGATGAGTAATGTATTCATTTTTTGAAATAAAACGAAAAAAAAAATTTGAAAGAGGCGTTAACATATTGTGCGAATTTAAGGTTTAATTGCATGAGTTAAGAAAAATAATTATATTCTTTTAAAGTATGGTATTTAACGTTAGCTTCCTGAATTTATAGAAATTTGGAAAACGTTGCAGTTTCGGAAATATAAGGTGCAAAAACTTAAGTTTTACAAAGTTCCAAAGGTGATAACTTGAGAGGAGATGGAAAAAAATATTCTTCTAACGAAACGAACTATTTGTGAATATCTAAGAGCTACTAAATTTCAAACTTTTACAGCCTGGGGTACAGGACAAACACGATATCAAAACTTTGTAAAAAAAGGATTTTAGATAACGGTAAATTTTAACGACCATTTTGTTTTTGTCAAGTTTAAATATGGTTTGCCGCATTAGAAGAAGCTAGCATTTACTTTTCTGCGTTCGCAGAATTTAAAAAATATTTCTGATTTTACTGCAATAATTACTTAAAAATGACATGTTTAGGTTTTTGAAGAGTTATAACTTCTAGAGGGGAGGGGACACATAGGTAACAATTTTCTTCTACGGAAATAAGTTTCTAGTAAAGCTCTATGTACGTATGAAATTCCAGCTTTCTACTTTCAATGTTGTAGTCAGTGGACTTTTTAGCAAAACTTCATTTGTGAACAAATCCCCGGACGGACGGACAGGCGGACAGAGTGAAACTAATAAGCACTTTTTTGCCAAAGTTTGACAATAAAAAATATGAAAATACATTGAAAAAATGTTTAAATAAAATTTGGCAATGAAATTTGTAATTAAAAGTTGAAATTTTTAAAGCAAAATATTTAGCAATAATTCTTACAGTTTTGCAGAAATAATTTAAAAAATATTTTAAAATATTCTGCATTTAATATAAATTTTAGCAGTTATATTTGGTTTCCAACAATGCTTAGTAAAATTAAAAAAGAAAAATCTTTCAAATTTGAATTGAAAAAATTTAATCCAATTTGTCTGTCTGAAGTTCGGCAAAAATTTTTAATGTACAATACAAATTTAACCCCCTTTTTTATACATTCATTAGATTATTATAGAGCTGACAGCAAGTAAACCAAATTAAATGGTTTTGAAAATAAACCTTAATTTTATGTAATAACTTATTTGTTTTTCTTCATTTTATCATTTCAGACATAGTTAACTATTAATTTGGCAGGATGACTAAGTAATTTATGAACATAAAAAAAATGATATATGCAAGTCACTCTTTTATATTTTAATAATAATTATACAGAACATAATATTACACTTTGTAATAATAATAATAATATTAAAGAGTATAATATTTACATACATGTATGCACATATACGTACGTACATTGTATAAGTGTGTGTAACGAATCAAGAAATAACTTCTAAATAAATTGAGTTATAATGTTCTAATTTTACTGGGGTCGGGCCAATGCATCCTCTGCAATACGATGTCAATCGAATCTGTTGTGAGCGGCCCGGGTGTATTGAGCCACTACCATTTTTACTAAATCTTCCTTCACGGAGTAACCATCTTTTTCTAGGGAGTAACCATCTTTTTCCACGTTTTCTTCTGCAATCCTACATAACAAGTTCAAGAACATACTTGATTTCAATTTAAGAAAGGACACTGTAAAAAAACACTTATTTTCTCAGATAATCTACCCTTTTTCTAGACGATTCTATTTTAATTAATAATAATACATGTGTTGTAATTTTAGAATATGTGTAATCTTTTACATTGTCTTTATTTTCTATTAAAGTCTAAATATGTAAATCTAAAGTAAATATAATATCTTAAGTAATATAATAAATCTAAAGTAATATAATATCTCGACGTGGATACTCACCGTATCCACGTCGAGAATAACCTCCAAACGCAAAATAGGTGCAGTACGCAATCCACCAGTTGCCCCAACATACGCCATACGCTGCACCCTCTCCAACTTCCACCTCTCCTTATCGCGAAGCACTGCTGCCCTCCAGACCGACGCCCCATACGTATAACACTCATATAACCAGGATAACCACACACTCGTATAACCAGTGACTACCCGAGCGCTTACTCCTCATCGCCTACCAGTCGCCCTCTTGCAGGCAAACAACGCATTCGTCTCTATGATTTCCTTTTACAGCAGCTTACTATCCATAGTCACGTACAGGCACCGCGCGCAACGCGCTAAACCCAGGTCCACCCCCGCCATCCTGGCCAGGACAAACCCTGGCACCTTCCTTATCCTCGTGAACAATACCAGCTCCGTTTTTGCGGGGTTTGCTGAAATTGACTGAATATTTGCTTCCGCGGCCAAATATCCAGTCCATTAAGACCCCCCTGCATTATCGCACTCAATACTTCCGAATACTTACCCGAGACCAGGATTGCCACATCATCCGCATAGACAGTAGCTCTACATTCGCTGTCCCCCATGAGCCTAAGAAAACCATCCATAACAAGGATCCATAATGAAGGCGACAGGACCCCCCGTCGTACCCCTCAGCCACTACCACCCTCGTACTAAGCATTTTCCCTATCCATCAAATTATACCTCCCTCTACCCCAACCTCCTCAGTAGACCTTAACATAGCTTCAACCTTCACATTATTGAAAGCGCCCTCAACATCCAAGAAAGCAGCCCAAGTATAATCCTTGTACTCCAGAGACACCTCCACCTTCGCGTGCAGCGCAGTCTCCACAGTTCTCCCTCTTCTATAGGCATGCTGCTCATTTCACAGAACCGACTTTCCTTGCTTAATTCCTTATATATTTTTCCACTAACCTCTCCATGGTCGTCAGCATGAAGGACGACAAGCTGACTGGTCAGAAATCCCTCGCACCGACATGGCCGGTTACCTGTAACTAATAGTTATTTACTCAAGTCAACAATTGTTATAATAGTAGTGAGGTCAACTCTATTTGCATCTTAGCCGTCTTTCCTGTTGCATTCAAATGGCTATATCAATTACAAATGATTGATAAAAAAATTAATTATCAATTCGAGTAAATTACAGGACATATTTATGTAAATCTAGCGTAATTGCTATTTAATATCAAATTTTTTTCTGACGTTGCTGTAGAAGAATTAACGTTGTGAAGTATTTTGACCATATTTATACAAAATTCGTTTAATACGAGTACTTTACTTATGAAATTAAATCTTTAAAAATGCTGTTCAAAATTTTACTATAATAGTGAACATTTTATAATTAATTGTATATACTATTTATAATCAAATTGATAACATAAAAATTAAAAAATGTTTACCTTCATCTTGTGATAAAATACTTTCATCTGGTGATGGTAATTCAGCATGAGATTGTTCTTGTGCTGCTGCTCTACGAGATTCTTGTAATCTAGTAAAAAATTCAACAGCATAATCTACAACATCACCCGGTTGTTCCAAAAGATATGCAATTGAAAATTCCAGCAGTACATCCCGTAGAGCATCCGGGACTTGTATACGTTGTTTTTGCTGCTGGACTGACATCTTAGATCCCTTTGATTTAGCACTTAAAATTAAAAAATTACAATAATATTAGTAATGAGTTACGTATACATGAATATGTGTGCTTTATATTTATATTTTATAGTCAATTAAAAATATTTTCTGATCAAAGGGATTTTAGAAACAATTGTATAATTTTTCATCAAAAAACAAACAAATAACAAAACATAAAAACAAAATTGGAAAATTTTTTTAGAAAATTTTTACACCTCATTTTACAAAATATGTACACACAAAAAAAATTTAACGTTGACATGAAAAAGAATAAAAGAATTATGAGAAAAATGAAAAAAAAAATATTTTCTTAAATGTTAATTAAAAAAATTTTTCAAGTTTTTTTTCTCATGTTGACAGTGCTTCAACAGAATTGTTTTCATTTGTTCATTCTCACTCTCCCTGCACCAGCGGTACTATAGTGCAAGCAGATATATCAAAATTTGTTCTGCTGCGAATGGAACCCAATCGAAGAGAAAGAGAAGAAAGTTAAAAAGAAAAACATGATGGATATGAAGAACAAATTTAAAACAACCTTCAACCTAACGGAAAAAGTTGAAATTAAAAGACAATAATTAAAAATAGGGAAATCGTTTTGAATTTCTTAATATTTTGAGGTATTTAAACAAAATTCACTAGATATTAATGAAGGACGACTATTATTGTGGTCAAATCATACGCTATTGAATAAGTTTCCGAGAGCTAAATAACTTTCGCCAGAGCCTTAATTTGAGAGTTGGCCCAGATTCAGATGAAAAATTTCGATTGTAAAAAACATTAAGTGAATTTCTAAACGATAGATTCGGTTCTTTTGTCTAGAAAAGAAAGGTACAAAGAATGGGAAGTAGTAAATTCATTGGAAGACTAAATTATCGGTTCTAATGAGAATTCACAATACCTATAAATTTTATATATATATATATGTACATAGTATAAAAATAGCAATTTTAACTTTCGCATACAAATGAAACATAATTTAATTTATAAAATCCTTGTCACCGTTAATGGCTAAACTTCAAAAAAGCAGGTGAGAAATTTTAGTAGTAATAACGGTAAAATTTCATATTATATGATATTGAAGCAAATAATATTTTGGTATATTCGTACACATTCAAATAACCTGAACGTCTAACAACTTATAATGATCAAAAAGGATAATATACACAGTAGGAGACTAAAAAACGTGTAGAACATAAGAAGGTTATAATGTTACACATAAAAATGCTTAAATAAATTTTGTTTTATAGAAAACGTGTCCATCTATTATGAATATTTTACGTTGGTACTACACACACATAGTAATGTACACAAGGATTATTCACAGTGATCATATTATAAAACATATTATATTTATGTTACAGAAAGCAAAAACGTGACCTCCATTATTGTCTTTTACAAAAAAATATTTTATCTAGCAAAATAAACTAAATAAAAAAAATGAAGTCAAACGACAACCTAATTCCATTTGATGGATTTTACTTTTATGACATATTATAGCAGAGAGAATTGCCACATATTGCGAATAATAAAGTTAAATCATATTGCGAATTCCAATTATTTTTAACTTTTTTGGAAATTTAAAATAAATTTTTTTTACGTGAACACCTCGTCTATCATGTGGTGAACGTATACCATGACGGTGGTATCTAATATTCCACTTCTGACATATGGAGTCATATGTCTGTTGCGTGGGCAAGGGTTGCCGTTAGAATGACTAGGAAGAATCTAAAACGATTGCAAAAACTCGCATGCATCTGCATTACGGGTTTTTAATGAGTTGATTTTTGGACGAACTTTTTTGCAGCCTGTTGTTGAGATGGAATGGAGTTGAAATGATCCGGGTAAAGGTTCTTGATCATTTCGCCGGAGATATTCTGTTCTTTGTGCTACCTAGAGATGACATGGCAAGGAAGTATAGTTTCGAGAAAAATTTTACCCCTTAGCTGAGCAACAAAAGAAATTGAGAACGGGAATTATGTGAGTTATCCAACTGGATTCCACAATCAAATGGTACACTGATAGGTCTAAAACCTGTATGAAAACAGCTGCGGCGGATTATAGCAAACATACCCACCATGAAAAATTAAAGTTTATATGCCCATTTAACTACTTCGAGCTATACTTTTCAAACTATAGTTGAAAGTTTTTTAGGCTTAACGCAAACTCTATTAAAAATATTAATTTATTTGGCAATTTTACGATATTTTTGAAAAATTAATGATTTGCTATTTCTGGCGCATGAGGTTTTTTTTTTGTTAGTGTAAAGTTTAGTGACGTGATTGTTGTAAAGCTAGTAACGATATTGTTGTACTCTTCTTCCCCTTTCGTCGTTTCACCTTTTGACCTCGTACTTATATGAAAATAACGAAATCAAAAATCAAACCATTAACTGTAAAACAATATTTCAAACTTAACTTTTTTTTTATATTTTCTTTATGACGTACATGCATATACACACATACAATTTTTTTTTTGTAGTTAAATTATAAATTAATGGATTAATAGCGTGTTTTTGATTATTATTATTATTGCTTATATGTTGGAAGTTGCCAAATGCCAGGTAATTTCTTAAAAAGCAAAGTAATAAAGTTGATTTTTTAGTTTTACGTCAAATAAAAATTTTTTTTTTAAATACACAACCATATTCTTATGTATTGGTTCTATATGTGTGTGTGTTTGCTTGTAAAACAAAAACTTAAAGGCAGAAAAATGAAACGAAAAATGGAAAAAACTTTTTAGAAGCGACCTATAGGAATTTTTCTTTCTTGTGATGTACACATACATGTATATATCTATGTACATACAATTTAAAATGAGGATTGGTTACTTTTAATTTTATTTTTCATGTCCTTAAAAAATACTATAAAGGTGCCTTCGTTTTCTTTCGTTTTCCTTATTTTTGTAACAGAATTGATTGAAAAATAAATTAGTTTTTTAATTGAATACAGAATAAATAATTATGAATTCAAGATATAAGAAAATCACTTAAAACTTTTTAACAAAATTCAAATAAATTAAAAAAATTAAAAATTTCGGCTTTTAACAGAATTTTTGATTTTCCAAAAATTTTAGTATTTTTTTTTAAGATTATTAAAACTTAAAATTCTAAGTAATCTCAACTAAATTCGTTTGCTCTTAACAACATTAAAATTTCTGAAACTTCAATGTAATGTTTTGGAAAATTCTTTGTTTTAGCACTAAGAACATATTAAGCAGATCTTAAGAACTCTTGATTATTAGGAAGACACAAAAAAAAAATTAAAAAATTATGAAAGTTTTATTACTTTGTACACGTCTCGAATTCCAAGAACAAAGAAAAATACTTGATACATTGGAATTATTGTAAATTTAAATTTTGTAATAACGATTTACATTACAATTGCTATTACCATTATCCTTTTGGTCCTTTTTTGATTTAATTTTCTTTTTTCGTTTTTGTTTTTAAAATGATGAAATTTTCTGAACAAATTTAATCCATTCGCATAACCCATAAAAATTTTGCAGAGCTCAAAAAACTGAAAGATGATTAAAATACTTAAAGTTATAGTCTTTTTTTTTGAAATCTAAAGAGAATTTCAATGAATTTTTTTTTTGTTCTTAAAACAAAACAAATATCTTTATTTTGTACTAAATGTTTTCGTGACTTATTTTGTACTAAATGTCTTCGTGAGGGATCCAAAACCGCACTGTCACCTCCTAGTGGTGATCCCTGGTAATGGCAGAGGATAAAGGGGTGATTGAAACGATCAAAGTTACATTCGTGCCGTGTTCATGTCTCGCGGCGAATATCCCGCTTTATGAGTTTTAGCCCTATATCTATACGTCAGCTGAGGACAGGCGTCTCAAGTCAAGGTGGAACAGCATATGTTGATGACTGCGTGGCTAAGGGGGAAATTAGTCGTTAATATGCGGACTCTGCCATTGGTGACTAGACCTTCCCGTGCTACTCGTGGGAATAAAATGGAAAGTGGAAACAATAACAAGAACAACAAAAACAACAACAACAATAACAACAACTGTAACAACTACAACAACAATAACAACAGTGACAACTACAACAACAATAGTGACAATACTAAGGACAACATTAATACTAACATAGTTAGAACTCAAGGGTCTGCGAACCAGAGCTTCTCTCGACTGACACAGAGGAGGAGCTCCTTCTCACGCCAGTAGAGACGGATAATCAGGATCTTCTATTGTCCAACAAACTGAGGTGGACCTGAAAAGATTGGATATCAGGGGAAAAAAACAATACAAAAACAAACAGATCCCTGGGAACATTTCTCAACAGAGCCCAAAAAACACCTCTTGCCGGGATGCAGTGGGGCGAAAGGGTCCCTGGGAACATTTCTCAATAGAACCTAAAAAACACCCTTACCGGGACGCGGTGGGAAAAATTTAAGTAGCTATTGCTCATATTTTGCACCCCAATGAGGGGCTATCCGACGTCCAGATGTGTAAAATCAAAGTAGCCACCAGGGACGAAATGTATTAAGTTATGGATTCTCAAACACATCTCACTGCAGCATTGCAAAGGGATGGATGGATATTTGTCACATGCAACAATCAAAACATCAGGGAGTGGATAACGGTAACACTTCTTCCGTGTTACCGTTCAGGTTAACGGAAGGAAATCCTCTCAAGGTGCTGGCGACAGGGCACGACAGTTTAAAAAACCAACGCCTACCGCGACAACAACGAGCACTTCAGGCCAACCAAAAGAGTCAAAACTCATTGGAAAGTTTGAAGTCGCTCCGAAAATGGCGGGAAGGGAAATGGATGGACCATCGATCAGCACGCCAAATACAAGCATTCCGAATGAACCAAAAAAGGCTCAAGCACATTGTGAAGCCCAGAACTGCTTCGGTATTTGCTGTTGGAGGGATTAGTGTGGCACCTAGGAGGGCAAAAGAAGCTGTGGCAGGCAGGCGCCAACCAAGATGCGTAAAAAGGCGGCAATGACAAGTAAGGCTCATGTAAAGCCTTTGTATAAAGGGCCAAAGCCCA